CGCTCATTCTTGGACGTTTTAGCGCTCAACTTGGAAGGATAAGCAACCACTTTTAACTGTCTTGGGCGATAAAACATTCGATTTGGGCTTTTTGGCGCTCAGCACCAGAACCTTTTCGCACAGCAGGGCGCTAAAATGTTAGATTTGGGCGTTTTAGCGCTCAGCACCAGCATCTTTTTGAACAGCAGGGCGCTAAAACTCTTGACTTTGGGCGTTTTAGCGCCCAACACTTAGAATTTTCCCATTCTTCAGAATTTTCTTCCTTCTCTCTTTTGCTTCATTGAGCTTCATTTTCCTACAAAAACAATGTAAATTTTTAACATAAGCTTCAGAACTTGTATTTGAGAGATTTCCAGGACATTAACCTCTTTTCCATCCATTTAATCACACAAATTGATATTAATTCATGCTTAAAAACCTGCTGAACCAAGGGTTGATCAAAAGTAAAATAAGAAAAAAAAAAAAAACAAAAATAAAATTAAAATGAAAAATTAAAAATAAAACAAATAAACTAAAAACAAACTTAATAAAATTAAAAACAAAAAAATGATCCAATCTATAATTTTAAAGATAAAATTAATGTTGATTAAATCAATACTCGACAACGGCGCTAAAAACTTGTTGAGAACTCGACAAGTGCACCAGTCGTACAAGTAATAAAGTGATAAGAAAAGTTGTCGATCCCACGAGGACTGATGACCAAGCACTAATTTATCTACTTAACTAAATTTGGATTGATCGTGAAATGTTGGTTTGAGAATATTGTAATTAAATTAAAAACATAATTTATAAAATTGTTTTTAGTTTTTAATATTTTAGAAAATAAATTCAGAATTAATAAATCTAAAAATTGGATTTAAGTTTTTAATAAAAGGGCGTAGCTAGAATTCAACTTCCCCTATGGTTTCTTAATGAGTTTGCCTATACTTACGATTACATTCAAGATCAAATTATTAACAGCTCTTTCTATGATTGATTAAATCTCAATCCCTTGGTAATCCAATCCTTTATTCTAATCCAAAGTCTAATCCCTTAGTACTTTTTCATAAAATAAGCATTAACGCAAGAACCTATGGTTATAGAATTCATAAGTCTATCTCTAGATCATATAAATTCCAGCAATCAACCAATCAGAATCGATACACCAACATCCCTATTGTCATGCACGACTCTAATGCTCATTCAAGACTGGCCAGATCATAAATAAGACTAGGAATAAATTGCAGATTGATTGCATAATTTAATCAAGAATATAAATCATAATCAAAGCAAACAGCGTTCAAGAACCCATTGGTTTCGTCTCGCCTTAACTACTAACAGGAATTTAGCTATGCATAATTATAAAAACAGAATTAAAAGATATAAGTTCATGATGAAACTTGGTTAATGATGATCAAGGATGCAGATTTGATCTTCTCTTTCCCTCTACTAGTGTTCCTCTTCCGCTACGTCTTTTGCTTCGTCTCTGACTCCCTTCTTTCTTCGCGTTCCAGAATGCCTTTTATCGGCTTCATTTACGTTGTATTTAAAGAGTAAAATGTGGACTTCTGATTTTTGAACCTGCTCGCTGAAGCGAGCTGCTCAGCAAGCATTTCTTCTCATTTGCTTCCTCCCTCGCTTGAGCGAGGAGTATAGCAAGTCATTATGTTTTGCTCGCTCACTTGCTCGCTTTAGCGAGCAGTGGAGCGAGCGTTACCCATTTTTATTTATTATTTATTTATTTCTGATTTTGTTGATAATCTGCGGATGCCACTGTTGCCTCGTCCTTATCATATTGGTACCTTGTTATTCTAGTCTAAACAACCTGAAACAACAACAAATATAAGAATCTTAACTATTTGTTGGCAATTCATTCTCTTTTACTATTTTTTTAGTTAACACTATATTTTTAACTATTTTAATAATTATTTGAACTCTTTTTAACCATAAAAATATAGTGTCTTGGACACTTATCAGCGATGGACCAAATTGTATCTGAGGAGGAATCTAAGGATAAATAGTATACAATTGTGCACTAAGGATACATGATATAATTATCTCAGGTCAATGTGTAGCCCAAGTGGGAGATTGTTAGGAAATTATCTTTCCTAAAGTGTTTGTGGCCTGCATATTAAATTAATAATTATATTACGATATTTAATATGTATTGGGTAAATTAAATTTATCAAATAAAGATGTCTAAATAGATTCCTAAGTAAGTGTGGGGTAAATGGGTGGATATTAGTGTTGGGCCAACTAGGTATAACGGGAGCTAACTGGCCCAACAATAAAGAAAAACACTATAAAAGGTTATGGTCCTCAATATGTCAAATAACAATCCTAGTTTTTCTTCCCCATCAAGAGAGAGACAACATATTAAAGAATAAGAATTAGGGCTATTTTACTGAGGAGGATCGCATACACCAAAAGAGAAAATCATACTAAAGAATAAGGATTAGGGCTATTTGACTAAGGAAGATCGCATCCCCCAAAGGAGAAGATCGAAGTTATTCCACTGCTATGGAGACGAGTATGTCTCCACATTTCTGTTAATATTCCTTTATGATTTAGTATGATGGATCTTGATTTGTTGGTGATGGTTATCACCATAAGATTAAAAGAAATTAATATTCCATCAAAATATATATATATATATATATATATATATATATATATATATATATATATTTATCGAAGTTCAAAACTTTGGATAGTTTATACTTATTATAATAAAACATGGAGCAATCAATGAATGAATTGTACCATAAGATTTATATTTAGAAATTGATGATAATATTTATAGTAAACTAATAAAAAAATTTTTTTTCATAAAATATTTATGGTAGTTCTATATTAAGAAACTATTGACCCATGCTATATCTATATTTTTGGCATTTCTTTTAACAACTTCAGTATTGTCAAATGTCATGAATTTTTATATATTTATATTTTTAAAATGTTTCTCTAGTAATATCATAAACCTATAGTTTATCATGTATTAAGAACTAAATTCATATCATTTTTTCTAGTCAAAAGCATGATAACTTAGGAATAATTGGTTGAAAACAGGAATATTGATTTATTGACTAATACGAATGATCCTTGCGTATTTTGTAGGAAACTTTAGCCAAATTGGAGCAAGGATGACTCTAAAGGAATTAGAGCACGAAATTGAATATTAAAGAAGTCACCAAGAGCGTCTTAGAAGCAATTTCATATTAGAATGAGAGAGCTTTAGTGCGGCCAAGCGCGCTAAAATTTGCTAAATGTATAGGATAGAAAAAAAGCGTAGGTGAAAGCACGCTAACAAGCGCTATCATGAAGAATTTCCCTTTCAAAGAGCGTGCTAAAGCACTCTCATCAAGTTTTATAGTATTTTTTCAATACACTAAAACATGATAATCAGCGCTTTAACACCCTGTTACGACCCAACTAAGGTTCATTACGTTGATTTGATTAAGAGCACAAGTTTTACACTTTATAAAAGGGACTTTTTAGAAATAATTGACAACTTATTGATGGTTGCACTCTAGTTTTGACCATAGATGGGCACTCTTCATGCTTTGGAGCAATAAAGACGGATTGGATTCAAGATTACGCTGGAAGTTTTGAAGATTCACCACGTCATCACACCAATGGAGTTTGGGGAAGCTTGTATATTTTCTTGTTGTATTGATTCCACTATACTAGGCTAGATTTGTTTGTAGTTAAGGCTAGATGGAAGCCAATTCAACCTTTATGTTTATGAATTGAATCTTTAATGTAAATTTCCCTTTTTATCATTGAATGAATTTATCTTCTCTTAATGCTTTCCATGAGTTTGATCTTGTAGAATGATTTAAGGTGATTGTATGACAATAGAAATGTTGGTACATGAACCATGCATGATAAATTCATCATAATCCTATGAGTCTAGGGATAGACATAAGGTTTTATGCAATCTTGTGATTCTTGAGTTTAATGTTTATTTTCTTGTTGAATAGACCGGGAACTAGGGTTCTTTCAAGATAATAAAGAATTAAGAAGTCAAGGAATTAGGTTTTAATTAACTTAGGGGAATCGATTAGCACTATATTAAGGGAAATTAATTAAGGGTTTTAATTCATAACATAAAAGGGAAATTGGAGGAATTGAAACCCTAATTGCGCTTTCTTGATTGTTAAATAACTAATATTTTGCCTTCTTGTGTTTTTACTTAGTTTACTTTCTTGCTTTGTTATTAAGCTTGATTGTCCAATTAAAGCGTAAATAGTGAATTGGTGATTGAAATTTTAATACTTGAGGGAATGATCTCATACTCAGTACACTTTATTACTTTTGCGACCGGTATACTTGCCAAAGTCGCAACAAGTTTTTGCCGTCGTTGCTTGTAATTAGTAATTTCAAAATTAGTAGTGGTTTTAAGCACTTTAGATTGGACCTTTATTTTTGTTATTTAATTTTGTCCTTGCTATTTTGTTTTAGTTTTTATTCAATTATTCTACTTTCTAGTTTATTCGAGGTACTGTTGACACCAAGTCTTTGCAGTTTGATCCATAAATAGAGAAAACTGTAAAAAGAAACATAAAAATTGCAAGAAAAAGGAGACAAAAAGAAGCGTCAAGTTCTACCATATTGAAAGAGGAAACTATGGCAGAAAATCAACCATCACCCCCTCCAAATACTCCAGGAGATTACAAAACTCTGGCCAGAGTTTCGCCTACTGCAAGTATTGTGAGGCCGCCAGTGGATGTGAACAATTTTGAGATTAAGCCATCACTGGTGCAACTGATCCAAGTAGAACAATTTGGTGGAGGAGGAGCGGAGGATCCTTATCTTCATCTAGAAATTTTCTACTTTTTTGCGACACCTTAAAGATGAACTGAGTTCTTCGAGATGCCATCTTGCTAAGGTTATTCCCATTTTCACTGAAGAACATAGAAAAAATGTAGTTGCTAGCATTACCTCAGGGGAGCATAACTACTTGGGACGATTTGTCGACCAAGTTCCTAGCTAGATTTTTCTCATCATCCAAGGTGGCTAAGCTGAAACCAGAGATGTCTTGTTATGGTCAAGATGACCATGAGACACTGTATAACGTGTAGGAGAGATTTAAAGGATTACTTAAGAAGTGCCCACAACATGGATTAGAAGCCTGGGAACGGGCTCATATTTTCCTTACCGGAATGGCTCCTTCCTTAAGATTGATGGTGAATGCTACTGCGGGATGATCATTGAAGTCTAAGACTTTGCAGGAAGCTCTTAAGTTGCTTGAGTCATTACCATCGTAGGAGTTTGATAATGCTCCAATGCAACCAAAGAGAGCTGTTATAACCATGATAATTATATGTTGCTAAGTGGGATTAGAGGTGTAATTAAAGAGAGGATTTAGTGTTTAATTGAAAGGAAAGTGAGTTTTTGAAGTTAAATTGGAAAAGCACCATCAAGTTCTTCTCGCGGACTTGCTCTCTTGAGTGAGCTAGTCCAGCGAGCTAACCTGGACCTCGCGGACCTACTCAATAAAGCGAGCAAGTCAGTGAGCAAACACGATTTAGGTTTTTTAAAATACAACATTCTCTTTTTCCTCTCATTTACACCCAACTTCACTTACCTCTTAGTTTTCCCTAACCTTTGGCCGAAAATACACACTCTTACACCTCCATTAATGTTCCCTTGTCATTGGAGCTTGAGATTGCTAAACTTTCCTTCCCCCAACCAATCTCCTCTATTTGGGTCACTGTAAGAACCCGCACCATTAAATTAGAGATTTTAATAATTTAAAAATGAATTAGGAAAATATTCCATAATTTAAATGGGATAATTAGAAGGAAATCACAATTATTAACATTAATTCAATTTTTGGAAGAAAAGTGTGAAAACTGTGTATTTCGCAGTATAAATATATACCGTCAAATTAATTCAAAAAATAGAAATAAAAATATGATAATTATTAGAATATATATTAAGTCCATAATATTATGTTTAAAAGAAAAATATTAATGAGTATTAGAACTAATACCGGTGTCTTAAGAGTGGAGTGTCTTAAATAGCTAAGTCACTTTTAATGCTATCATTTTATAAAACCTATGTAGACCTTACTCTTCATTTCCTCTCATGGATGCCAAATGTAACATCCTGGGCGCTGATGAGGGCAGGGAATGATCGCTAGTGTGAAAGGACATGGACAAGGAGTGGCTCTTGACAGGCTTCCAGCAGAGGTTACATGAATGAATCGAATCGACAACTGAAAGAGAGAGATTCTAAAGACTGTGCAGGTATGAGACTGCACAGTTTAGGATAACTTATAAGAATTAATTGATACTACCTATACTAACAAGATGCATCTACTTTTCGGTAGCCCGGAACGGAAGAACTCCATAGTTAAGCGTGCTTGACTTGCAATAATTCTGGGATGAGTGATCTCCTGGCAAGTTTTCCTAGGAAGTGTGCAAGTGAGGAAAAAGCACACTAAAAAGTCTCGTGTTAGTATGTAGGGATAGTCATTGATTCTTGAAGCGGCCGGGTGTTACTAGTGGTATCAGAGCAGGGCCTTTTTCCCTGTACGGTGTGGTTCGAGGACGAACCAGGCGGAAGCTGGTGGGCATGTAACATCTCGGGCGCTGATGAGGACGGGGAGTGATCGCCGTTGCGAAAGGGCATGGACAAGGAGCGGCTCCAGACAGGTTTCCAGCAAGGGTTACATAAATGAATCGAATCGACACCCGAAAGAGAAGGATTCTAAAGACCGTGCAGGTGTGAGACTGCACAGTTTGGGATAGCTTACAAGAGTTAATTGATAATACCTATACTAACAAGATGCATCTACTTTTCGGTAGCCCAGAACGGAAGAACTCCATAGTTAAGCGTGCTTGACTTGCAGTAATTCTGACATAGGTGATCTCCTGGGAAGTTTTCCTAGGAAGTGTGCAAGTGAGGAAAAAGCACACCGAAAAGTCTAGTGTTAGTATGTGGGGATAGTCATTGATTTTTGAAGCGGCCGGGTGATACAAGTGGTATCAGAGCAGTGCCTCTTTCCCAGTACGGTGTGGTTCGAGGACGAACCAGGCGGAAGCTGGTGGGCATGTAACATCTCGGGCGCTGATGAGGGCGGGGAGTGATCGCCAGTGCAAAAGAGCATGGACAAGGAGCGGCTCCTGACAGGCTTCCAGCAGGGGTTACATAAATGAATCGAATCGACACCCGAAAGAGAAGGATTCTAAAGACCGTGCAGGTATGAGACTGCACAGTTTAGCTTATAAGAATTAATTGGTACTACCTATTCTAACAATATACATCTACTCTTCGGTAGCCCGGAACGGAAGAACTCCATAGTTAAGCATGCTTGACTTGCAGTAATTATGGGATGGGTGACCTCCTGGGAAGTTTTCTCAAGAAGTGTGCGAGTGTGGAAAAAGCACACTAAAAAGTCTTGTGTTAGTATGTGGGGATATTCATTGATTCTTGAAGCGGCCGAGCTTACACCAAACACTCCTCCCCCTAGCCTCCATGGTTTCTTCTTCAAGACAACACCAAGACATCATCTTTCTCCCTCTTCGTTCCACCCAAACCTCTTGAACTCTTGAAAGTCACCACCTTGAAGAAGAAAAACTCATTATAGGATGTTTTGGTTTCTGACTTATATGGGTTTAGGGGCTGCTATCCATACTTGGTTGGTTTAGGTTGCTTGTACACCAAATGTTTCTTCATTCAAGAAGTCTTTAGTTTGCAAGAAATATTATGAATTTGGGCACGACTAGCATAACAACCTCATGCTTCATAGAGATAAAGGTCTAGCTTTTGGTAGAAGTTTAATTGGAGATTGTTTAGGGCAATTGGGCTTGATGTTACCTCAAGCATAATTTTTGTATGATGGGTCATAAATGCGATCATTGAACTAAACTATAGGAAATAGTCTGAGTTTTGTCCACTTACTCTTTTAAAACTCGCATTATTTCTTGTGCCCAAGCAGTTTAGTTCAAATGTATTCCAAGCATATTAAAGAATTGCATTCACAAGTTCTACACTTAATTAGGGAACTTGGTGATATTGTATAAGAAGAGTTGTCACCTGGATTACCACATGAAGAAGTTAACATCAATGAAGACGTTGCAGATTCTAGGGTAAATCTTTTCCTAGCGGGGAGGATTATGCCTCGAGGTGATTGATTTGGATTGGACTCAAATTTGGATAGCCAACTCGAAATGGGCTTCTGAGTAAGACTGGAGCGTTGCCATTGACATCAATAGTTTTGGTCCTTTATAGTTTATTCCATAATTTAGGGCTTTTCAATAATTGTTAATTCTTTTTCTTTTTCTTTTTCTTAGATTATGTTAGAGTGTGTGTTATCTCCTTTGGTTGCGTTTTATTATAGTTATTTATCTTTTTTTTTTCCTATTTAAGGTATAACACCTCGCAATTCTAAATCAAATATTAAAATATTAGGTGAGAATTAAAGGGAAGGATTAGTGAAAATCCTGAAGATTAGGGGAAAATACAAAGAAATGGCAAAACGATAATTAGCCAACATGCAACCCTAGGAAGATAAAAATTGAGTAGAAGGTCACAGATGACAAAAATAACCCTGGAAATGGATTCAGAACGAAAAATTGGGTGGCTAAGCAAGTTTCTGAAAATTCTGTGAATAGTGTTTTTACCGGGTAAAAAATATCGCGGTACAGTTGCACCGTAAAGCGTGCCGATTGAGTTTTGAGCTCTAGATTTTGAATAAAAGTTATAAATGGTTTATAGAACTAGGGAATATGATTTCTGATGAAAATTGATGGAAATTAGTAAGTTTGGGGAAGCGTGCCTACAACGCACGTAAGAGCTTAAAACAACATTTTCTCCGAACGACCGGAAAACTCAGGATTCATCTGATCAAGGGTAATTAAAGGACAATGGTTAATGTTAAAAATTAGAGTTTCTAAATAGGTTGTGGATTTATGGATTTTTAGTGGAGTTGGAGGGAAATTCGAATTAGTTTGAAATCGCGTGAGGTGGTGGTGGGACCCACCCCACTTAAATCACTTAAGACACATGGCAAGACACTATTCATGATCATCTCCCCCGCCCCCCCCCCCCCCCCTTTTTTTTCTCTCCAAAAACTGAACCCACCATCCTCCATGGCCAAAATTTGCTTGAAACTTTCTTTCTCCATAACTTCATCGATTCTTAACTGAATCAAACGATTCTTGTCTTGAAATTCGATGGAAACGACCACCTGAACCCGTTCCACCGATTAGTTTCCCTTGAAACCCTCTCATTTGTGAGAAAATGGACAAAGTCAGCCACGAATTTCTTTGGAGTTTTGTGATTTTGGGGTTGATTTTTTAAGCCATTGCTTGTGGAGTTTTAGGAGGAGCCTTGTGACGTAATTGTGGGTAAGTTTCAACACCTCTCATGGATTAATTTGATGATTTATTTTCATGAACCGTAAAGGGGCTTTTGTTGATTTGTGTTGTTAGAGAGCTCAAATAAAAAATGTGTATTAGATGATAATGTCTTAGAATGATGTGTTAGAGCTATAAATGCAATGAAAATTATTGGTGAAAAATATGATTTTTAACTAAGGAAAATTTGATGGTGCCATGACTTTATGTTTTGAAATTGTGATAGGATTGTATAATTGGATTGTTGTATAGTTGTATGGTGTTAAAATGGGATTGTATGAGGTGTGGAAGAGTTGATTTGGAATGAATCACCCTTGGTGAGGGCTATGTTGAATTTCGGCCATTAAGGAAAAAAGAGAGAGGAAATTATGTTGAAAAATTGGTTGGATGATGTGTTGTGTATGGTAAGGTAATTAGATGGGTTGTGTGGTGGTTGGAAGGTTGGAAAACCAATGGAAAAATAATTGGTAGTGTTGAGTGGTTAATCGGGCCTAGAGCAAAATATTAGGCAAAACGACGTTTGAATGACGAAAAATGAAAAGTGGCACTTGATATGGCCTTTTGGCAACCTAAAGATGCCTAAGAAAGTGAGAGAAAATTTAGAAAAATAAAATGTGAAATAACACTATGTAGGCCGAACCTACCTTGTGTGGGTAAGGAATTTTGACGTTTTCGTATTTTGATAGAATTGCTGTGTATTGAGGATTCGTACATGGTTGTTGTAGGTTGTCGTACGTTGATCTGAACCCCGAACCGTGAG